GAAACATTTTAATTATTTTCAATTTGCGCAATATAGTTTCAGGTTTATATTAGCGCGAAAATGTGCGAATCTATAATATTGCAACATGGTTTTATTTGCAATTGTATATATGCGTAGCAATTGTCTATAATATTTTAATTACTTATGATTAATGTATTTAAGCTGAACAGATAAATTTAAGTGGAAAGATCATACACAACATCTTTTAAAATCTACAAATAAAAATATTTACTAAGTAAAACCAGTGTGTTTTTAATTATTTGATCATGAAGAGGTTTATAAGAACTACTATTCTGTTTTTCTCATTTTTGTATATTATGTAACAAATATAGAATTAAATACGTTTTATAAAGAAATATAAGTATATTACACAAAACATTATTTTTACAATGAGGAATTATACTAGACATAATTATGGTTTACATTCTTGATGATAAGGTTCCAAAGTTCGAAAATCTCTCCATGTTGGAGGCAAAGCACTATGTAAATGTAAACCACAACGTTTGCACGGATCGCTAAATAAGTTATTGAGACTATGAAACCATGTCTATAAAAAAAAAAGAGAGTAGATTAATTCGTTAAATTTTTATATTATTAATATAATGATTATCATTTCTAACGTATTTTATACATTCACCTACCATAAATGATCTAACAGCTAATTCAGGTAATGCTGGAGAATAAAAATGTAACATAGCAGCATGAGCATTTTCTGTCACCTTTCTAAAAACTTTGTGTCTAGATTCTGTCCATAAATCCATAGTTTCTCCATAACCTTTTACTACTACCCATTCAATCATCAAACCTTTGAAAGCTATTACTCCTTTCAAAACATGCCCTAGTGTAACATGTAATACTGCATTTGATGCAAATGGCCGTGATACAGATACTGTCATATCACTAAAAAGTCTATCAAATGTAGCTATCAAAGAATCAACTTGCCTATAAAGAAGAAACATTTATCAATGACTTTGTTATTTCTGGTACAGCAAATTAAAATCTGAAATACTAAAATAACTTACTGTTGAGGAACATTGTGGTTACTTGTTTGGATTCTACCTCTTTTTGCTCTACTAGTAGTATTATAAGATCTTTTTAAAGAGTTTTGATTAAGTAATGCTTGAGCAACATTACTATATTCATGAACTTTGTCAGTCCATTTGTAACTGTTAACTAATGTACTATACAATGCTTGTCTTTCTTGTGTTGTTTCCTGAGTGAGATAAGTAGTACTTCCTAAATTAAATGGTCCTGGTGGTGGATTTAAACTGTTTACAGCCTGCTCAACATCTCTAAATATAAACATATATTTAATATGATATCCTTTTGCAGTAGACATATTGGCATAAAATAAGAGACACACCTTAGATTAACATTAACAGTTGTTAAAAGTTCTTGCAATTCAAGTAAATATTTATTTTCTTTATTTTCCTCACCATGGTCAGCTCTTAACCCATTCCCTAAAGAATCAAAAACTTGACCAACACTCGAGCGCAATGCCTTAATTGCTGTCAATGCAGTCTGCAGTTGTTCCATTTTTTGTATAGTTTTTGATATTTAAATTTTAATCACACTAAAGTCTTTGCATGATAAAACACATTGAAATGTAATAACTACATAACTTTTACAGCACCGGCATTTTCTAACCTGAAAAGTATATAAACACAAATTCGTAAATACGCCACAGGTAAGTCACGTATCTTTAAACAAGGAAATTTTTTCAATTCTTCGATGTACATATAAAATTAAAAGAGTTATAAAAATTATAGAAGTTTTTATTTTCACCACTCAATTACTGTCCTACACAAACATAACAATAACACATTCGCCGAAAGTCTGACAATTAGACGTTTCTTCCAAACCGTTAGAGGGCTCATTTAAGTATTCCTTATTATACACATTTTTCGTAAAATGCGTAAAAAGAATAAAATCATATTATGGTGGTAACTAAAATTCAAGAATACAGATGTTACTTTTATTTCATTATGCCATTGATAATTTTAATACTTTTATTATAAAAACTTAAACACAATGCTATAATTAAATTAGTGATGTAACGTCAGATGGTAGCACAAGAGTTCCTTATAGCACGAACGAGGCATACTATAGACCTACCATCTTATGGGATTTTTCGTCTCACGTTCTGCAATACCGATCGTGTAAAAAAAATCAGAGGTTTTGTTATGCCCTCTACGATATAAAACGGTGAATTCAGGAATTATATACTATCCAACCATCAGAGATGGTAAAATCGGCAGATCCTCTTTTTTAGTTTGACACATAACCCTAAAATTAAGCTTAACCCATATACACATTCAAAGCGGACCAAGTATAACCGTAATCACCATAAGAACCTTAGTCTACTCTTAAATTGTAATTTGTACGTTAAAATGATCGACGTAATGTATGAGCTCGTAAATCCCCGAAAAAATCTAGCAAGCTCAAGCGTTATTATTTGGAAAGTACTGTTACTACTACATTTGCTATAATTCACGATACGTATTCGATTAAATTACGATCTTTTACTATGGCAGCCAATTTGCTCGTATTATTTGCTATACAATTACAATTATATACCAAATAATATCGATTGCCCAGGCCCCACCACGTGGAGGTTGCTGCGAATGAAGGCCCGCCCTAACCACACGGTCCCATCCACCCTCCTTTTACGCGCCTACTATTTATTTTCTACTCGTTAATGCAACGTTAACACCTCCTACTGATAGCACATTTGCAATACGTTCGAATTTTCGATCGCTATGCAAAACGGACAATAGCAGGAGACTGAAGGAATGTTAACTAAAAAAAAAAGTCGGCGAGAAAAGAAAGAAAAAAATACAAAAAAAAAAAAGTTAAAAGTGTCCTATTAATTTAAACTTAAAGTACTTTAAGTTTAGCTTAACTTAGATTATGCCTAACTTACAGTATAAACTTCACTAAGACACAACCTAAGCTAGGAGTTAACTTACACTTGCCTTAAACTAGGACCAACGAAAACCTTAATTCTATACGAGATACTAATTCACTCTGTATTTTTATCATTACACAAGAATATGTGAAGTAGGAATCTGACTCGTGAGATATTCGAAACACAAAAGAAGAAAATACAAACAAATACGTCCCACAGAAAGACACGTCAACTTAAGGGACTGACTGCACACGGCTATCTCGGGAATAAATCAAGCGTTTCTGTTCAAAATTGTTTACAGGAAACTAACGAAAGGAACAAAATTACAATGTTTACAAACTGAGAGCTACCGTCTTAAACAACATGTAACTCGAGCACTGAATTTTCGTTAAAAACTTGCCTACTTAAATGTTAAAGTCTTAAATACTATCCTACTTAAGTAGAATTCTTACTTAACTTAAAAGTCGCCTGCCTGTCTAAGAATCTAACTTAAATTAAGAGTCGCCTGCCTGTCTAAGAATCTAACTTAAATTAAGAGTCGCCTGCCTGTCTAATGATTTAACTTAAATTAACAACCACCTGCCTGATTAAGAATCTAACTTAATGTAGAAAAACGCCTACCTGTCTAAAGATTTAACTTAAATTAAGAATCGCCTACCTGACTAATGATTTAACTTAAATTAAGAATCGCCTATTTAATTAGGAATTTAACTTAATGTCGAAAAATTGCCTACCTGACTAAAGATTTAACTTAAATTATAAATCACCTTCTTAATTAAGAATCCAATTTAATGTTGAACATACCGTGGTTGATTAAAATGCCACGTTCGTTTGGAAAACAACCTCCCTAATTAGAAATCTATATTGCACCCTGCCTATTCTAAAAATCTAAAGGGATATAAAGGAGAAAGAAGAGAAGTATCAGTATGGTACGATGAATTGCTCGTATGCTTCTCTGTCACCTGCAACAAACTCAAATTCAAACGAATTTAGTAGTTATGTCGAAAAATTGCCTACCTGACTAAAGATTTAACTTAAATTACAAATCACCTTCTTAATTAAGAATCCAATTTAATGTTGAACATACCGTGGCTAATTAAAATGCCACGTCCGTTTGGAAAACAACCTCCCTAATTAGAAATCTATATTGCACCCTGCCTATTCTAAAAATCTAAAGGGATATAAAGGAGAAAGAAGAGAAGTATCAGTATGGTACGATGAATTGCTCGTATGCTTCTCTGTCACCTGCAACAAACTCAAATTCAAACGAAATTAGTAGATAGACTTTACAAGTTACAATATGGGCGTCATTTACTTTTTTTCTTCGAATAATTTCCTCAGTTTTCGATAAAGCGAATCTGTAACAAACTCGTTTTTTGTTGGATTAATAAAAGCAAAAATGAAAGTTTAACAGCTGAAAAAAAAGATATTATGCACATATACGTATAAAATATTAATTATTATTATTGGGGAATGGAGTACTGTTTCCATAAGGACACAGCTTACATCCGAAAGCCTCAGCAATAATAATTAAAAATGAAGGTTTAACAGCTGAAAAAAAAAAAAGACATTGTGCACACATCGTACATATACTTTTACGTATTCGTTGAAATAAAAGTGATATTAAAAAAGGTACTTTTCATTGTTAGCAATTACTTGGTACACATTAATAACAAATTATTTCGAAAGTCATTAGAATATTTCACAAAGGAAGAATCTTCGTTAATTGAATTGAAAATTTCTATACCGAATACCAAGATGAAAGAAAAATAGATTAAAATTGTGCACAATTAGTTTGCAAGTTATTATTTTCACGGAAGAAAACGTGGAGAGATGTTCCAATTTACTCTTCATTAGGAATTTAAAACCGAAACAATCGCACAATTTACCGCAATTTCATCTATATTGTTATCATTTTTTCAATTAGCAACGAGTATGCGACGTCGTACCGGTGATTCGAACATTTTACTATGAATATTACGAGCCAACTACTTTCTACGTAACAAAGTTTCTTTGCAAGCTTTTTATGTCGCACACGGAATATGAAAAACGTAACCGCGGGTGTACTTTAATTCGTGCAAAGCCATTTCGAAAATTTATAAAAATTCACTATACTCTACTGTTGCATCAGTCGGTATGCAAATTTGCAAATATTACCGACAGATGAATCTTACTTACCGAGAAAAGGTAAATAACTCTAATAACAATTAATTCTTATTTTTTTCTTTTCTTTTTTAAGAATTTACCGAGCTTCTACTTGCACTTTCGTTCATTATTAATTCTTCCTCTGATATATTCCGATTCAATTTGAAATTCTCAACGTCTCGAAGTCACTGTTACGTCTTCAAAGATAAATCATCATCATCGATATTACATATGTAATATCGTAAATAACTGTTACAGCAATTCAACAGTATTTCATGACAAACACTCGGTAGATTTCATAATCCACTCGTTCTAAACCCGAGCAAACCGTGAGTGGAATAATTCATTCTTTTACGCAACACTAATCTATTAAATGTACGAAATAAAAAGAGTCTCAGAATCAATCGCGGTGAGTGCTTCATTTTATTTGCAATCTGAATTTACGAAAAAAAAAAAGAAGATAAAAAAAGTTACCGTTAAACGCGAGAGCAGCCACGTTAGGGCGCTTTTGGGCAATACGCAACACTAGTCATCTATGCACTCTGTAATTTATAATACGCAACGCTAATAACGGGGGATCCATGGCAGTCGTAGTCAGGGCTACTGCCCTGATCACCTTTGGCGCAGATCCTTCAGCGACTCCTGAAAAATTTGGGCATTCCGTCGCAACACTATTCAAAGACAAAACGCGTTTATTCGTTTATACGCAACGCTATCGTTAAAATTACATCTGGAGTAAAGGCTCCTTCAAACTATTTTTACTCTGAATAAATGAAATGAATTTACTCTGAAAAAAAGGAAAAAAATGTAACATTACTTTAAATGCAAACATTTGCAATTGAATAAAGATTCCAAGAATAAAAATTTCATACACAAGAGCAATCGCGAGCAGCATTTCTTCGCAACTCTAATTTACAACGCGATCTCGATCAATTCGCAACTCTAATTCAAAACGCGATCTCACATGATTCGCAACTCTAATTCAAATCGCGTGTAAATTTCTCGCAACGCTAACGCAAACCGTGATCAATCAGTCGCAACGCTAATTAAAATCGCGACAGGGGAGGTAGGGTGGGCGATGTCCAGTTCCAGCTGAAATACATCCTACAAAATACTACATGCAAGCGAGCACAGTGACAAAGTAGCAACGAGAATGACTCTCCATCCTTTGGATCCATCCAAAAGATGCAGAGCCATTCGTAGCAGCCCTCTTCATTGGCATTTTGCCGGGCCTCTTCGGCTCATATAGCCTTTCTACATTTCTGAAACTTAAGTCTAAGGCTCGAGATTCCCTGTATCGTAAAATAAACCATAACATATAAAGGTGAAATAAAAAGATATAATCGCGGAAGCCGGAAAACTTGGAACACGCAGATGAACACGAGCAACGAATGAATCGTTGCAAGTGCATCTACGCCGAACCTCGAGCAAACTATCTTTGCGTTTCGTTTCGAAGGGCCTCAACATCCGACCGCGAACGCGG